AAATCAGTGTATACATTACGTCACTTTAGAAATGTTGATGTGATACATATGAAACATACAAAGATGTAATGTATTTGTGGTTTGCAGAAAGGTACAATGGTAACATTTACGTCTGGTGAACAGGCTGTTCCAAGAGCCAATCTGATTTAGGAATACCTGTGAAAAGAGGCACTGCGCCTGCAGGTGAATCTCAAAATATTGTCCTTACAGTAACATAAGTGAGTCGCATGTGTTATGTGTTGCTGCAAAGTCTTTGTGTGCCGCTGACCTGAACTTCCCCTAGGTTCTTTTTTCGGTTCACATCGTACTTGATGATGAAATCTCCATCAATTATGGTGCTTTCACATCCTGGGCATTTCCTCTGCTGCTCCAGTGTTGGTGAAAAAGAGATGTGTGCCTGGAAGACATTACAGTCTTTATTTCTGGACAAATCATTTATGCCTACAAAAAATATCATGAAGTTAATAAAAGTCTATAAACAGAAAGATAGATATCTTTCTGTTTACCTTTGTGTCTGTGACGGTTTTCTCCACCAGGGGGAGAAGCTCATTGGAAAGGAAAGTTGCAGTGGCCTCAACAAAAGCAATACCCTCAGGCTCATAGATGTTTGCCGCAATCTGTGTCCACACACACACACACACACACGCACACACACACACACACACACACACACACACACACACACAGGGATCAAGTGTAGATTATTGTGACGTGCAGTCTCTTAATGTGAAAACAGAAATTCCTCACACTTTACAGGACAATCAGTTTTCCAGCTTCTCTTATCCAGCATGTCATTATTAAAGGTACACCATGCAGAAATTGTCAGTTACTATTTGCAAACACACTCACCAACAAAAGTAAAAGTGAAAACCAATGCCAGATCACTCTTCTGATGTTTTGCCTTGCTATATGCGTATCTTAGCACTGTGTCCGCAGTTTCTGTAGCTTCCTCTCAGATGTGTGCTGCTTATGGTCTGGTACCTAGTTGCTACCTTTTATAAAGTCCCATCCTCACCTGCATACTGTGCACAGGAACGTCCCGAAAAGAGCAAAATAAAACTGTTATGACCCTGGGTCATTTATTGGTGATTCTGCTGTTTTGTTGTTCCTCCCTCCTCCCTGGCTGCTGACTGGTGCTTGGAGATTGATGGAGCTGGTATAAAATGACCACTGCTTGAGCTGTTCTTCCTCTTCTCTTGGCCCTACCAAAGAGCATGGATACCAAGAGGCAAAGCTCAATAGAACACCCCATAGCAACAGACTCGCCCATGGTTTTGTCCTACCGCCGTCATTTTGGACTGTCAGCAGACCGCAGCAGACCCGCTTGCATACAAAACACACAGACAAACTGAAGTATATCGCTATTAATTATGCTTACAATGCTACTCACCTCGTGATAGCTTGGCCACAGCTGCTTTTTCACATTTTTGTAAAGCAAAATATAGACTTAAAAAAAAGAAAAAAAAGAAAAACGGCCTAGATGGCATCTCTACATAGCCTATTACATCAGCTTATGAGAAGATTAACTTAATTACTCCTTCAAAATCACCCCATAAGCCAATCTACCAAAAAATAAACAAAACAAAACAAAACAATATTTTAACTAGAAACACATTAATGGCGATGTCACATAGTCAGGAATAAAGATTTATTTACAGTTTGTACAGTAAGGGGACAGTAATAATAATAATAATAATAATAATATAGGCTATTTTAATATGATATATTTTAATGCTAAAGCAGTAATCAGTTCTGATATAAATGGTCCAAGAGGCCATATATAGGCCTATATATACATATATCTTCCCTCCAAAACTGGCATATTAAATTGATATTAAAACACTTTAAAACTTACACCTCAGGAGTTCTTACCTGTCGGGATCCTTCGGGAAACGGTGGAAGGCCAGGTGCGGGCTGTTCCACTGATAGTTGTTGCAGTTAATTGCACTACACTGTTTTTCTTTTACTTTTTTTCTCCTCTCTCCTTGACATCTTGCATGTTGTCTGGGCGCAACAGTCCAAGCTCAACAGTCCAAAATGGCGGTAGCGCCCCTAGTGGCTGTTGGCAAAAATTTAACGGAGCTTCGCCTCTTGGTATCCATGCTCTTTGGCCCTACTCCCAACTGCACCATGCTTTGTTGTAGCTACTGTGTTAAATTTGAGTCAGTCTTGATATCAGTCCAGCAGTCGTAGCGTAGGGGTGGGTAGCCCCTTTTGTTTAATCCTTTTTCTCCTGTTTATTTATAGGGAGTCAGATGAGAGACCTGTATTTTCATTTTCTTTACTTTTGGGTAGGTAAGTTAGTTTTAGTGGGGAAAGAGGGGAGCATCTTTTCATGTTATGTATCGGTTCCCCTAGGCCGGTTGTAACAAAACTAAAATATGAAAATAAAGGAGATATAGATTAATTTTAGGAGCTGATGGTTTAATTGCTGAAGAAGACCGCAGGAGACTTTAGCGTTTAATTAAGGCATACATAGCATAACACAGTGTATGCCATCCAAAGATTTTGAAGCTGTCCTGTTAATGTCTGCAGTCTCAGATCAACACAGCCCTCCAACACTTGAAGCAGCAGCAGCCCCAGCAACCCCTCAACAGCAACTGTATACCCCATCAGCTAGTTATGCTGTAAGTTATGTCTTCATAAGGTGTTTTAAAGTCTTGTTCCATGTGCCCCTTTTTAACTTTCAGCACCTGCCCCTCCAAAGGTCTCTGCACAGCCCTGCTACATGTTCCCAATAAAGGTTATTCTTACCAATCTGTAGGTGTGAGAAGATTCTGTTGGTTACTGGTTCTAAACAGCTACCTAGCTTGCCCTAAATCAAGTGGCCTGTCCTTCTGGACATGCACAACACATATCTGAGTTGAGACAGAAAGTCTGCCACGGTCTGGGGCATAGAGCAACCTTTCTTCCTCTCAGCTTGGTTACTACAGAAACAGAGCCCGCCAGCGTCCCTTTATCAGGACAGCTGTACTCCCTCTGACACAGTTAGAAGACAGTGAATGAGCTATGGCTGCAACTGAAGCAGCAGAGCATGACCTCAAGGCTTCGTCTAGGCTCGCTGCGGACCTGACCTTAAGCACAACTGTCTCATTTTGCTTTCTGCTGACCGAGAAAGAAGGCTCCAATACTGTAAACTCTGACAACAGGCAGAGGGCAAAGTCTGTGCAAATAAATACACTGCCACCCTCTTCTAGTGGGTCATAAGTGATGACTCACAGGGATTATTCTTGTACGAGTCTATACAGTATTTGTTCAGAAAGTCCTGCATAGAATACCTGTCAGAAAAATAAAAGAGTAGAGCGTGTCCAACCTGAAACTCCTGCACCGGTTGCTGGGGATTAACTCGGGTCAGAATCTCATACTGGCCCAGTTTCCTCTGAAGGAGCTCCTCGTAGGTCAGAATGAAAGTCACGTTGCTTTTGGCTGCAATGTTGACAGACACTGAAAACTTCTCCATCTTCCTTCCAGATGCCCTGCAATGATGAGCATGCATGTTAATATGCAGTTGCATGGGTTTAACGCATACTGTAACATTTTCCACCCCAACCTACTTGACCAGTCCAGCAGTCTGTCCAGAGGAAACAGCCTTCTCATACTGTTTCTTAGCTTTCTCTTTCTCCTTCACCTCCCCAACATACACCTGACCATCAATTTCCCTGTGAGGCACAAAGACGAGTGTCAAAGATTAAGACAGTGGCGATCTGTGTTCACTGTCAAAAGTACTGAGTTTTGACTGACATGCTAAAGTTGGTGATGAAGGCAGTCTTGGGCAGCTCCACTTCAAAGAAGATTTCCTTGGAGAAGTTTGCTTTGTTCAAAGCCTTGGAGGTCATGACGGTGTGTGCAAAACGAGACGTCACAGTGCAGTCCACTTTCACACTGTACACCTCCACCATCTGAAAGAATGGACAGTGTCATGTTCTTCCTCCAGCCACCTTCCCGCTTTCCCAAACCCATTTACTGTCATTCTCTTACCGTCCACCAGATGCCTCCAGACTATTTTCCACCTTCCCTCATGTGTCCTGCAGTAACCCCTTTCCCTCCAGTCCCAGTTACCCCACCTGTCCCTTGTCAGTCCTGCAGTATCTCACTGGCCCATTTCCACTCATTCCCTTTCAGGTCATTGAACTTACAATGTTGCTCTGTAACTTTGAGCCATTACTTTCAACCATACATTGTAAGCTGAAGCCTGTACCTGTCTTCCCCATTCTTATTTCCCATGGACCCTCATTTATTTCTGTTCAGACTTGCCCCCAATACCAGTGAGCCTTTGTGGGTTTTTTTTTTTTTTTTTGCCAATAAATCACTAATCAATTCATGTCTGCCTGTCTATCTGTGTTTGGGCTCTTCTCCCCTTGTTGCTGGAATTCAGACTTTGAACACAAAGAGGAAAATCTGGCATGCTTGTTAAGTAAAGTCTCTCTAAAAGGCCTCAGTATCATGAGAAAAGCTCACAAAAAGCTAACACATCATAGTATAGCAAGAGCAGTAGCCGAGAGAACTGGAAGCTCATTGTTATCTCTCTACTGAATTGTGGATCAGAGATCACGAGAAATGTCCCCACATTATTCATGTCACAAAACTGAGTGAGGTCACTGTTGTGTAAATGCGATGCAAAATGAAACTTTTAGAGAAAGTAATAAAACACAGATGGACAAATCACTTCCAGCATGTTTACCGTCTCCAGCAAAGCAGAGAGAAGAGAAATGGATGCAAATGGACACCGCAGGGAGGAAAGCGGAACAAGAGACATCTGGAGGCAATGAGGTTTATAGAAAATGTGGACTTCATTTTGCCAACAGTAACAATACCACTACTGCGAGATAGAAGCTGCCAGTCATCCTGACCATGGTCCTGTGTGCACTGAATTATTACATCCAGGTTTCACAATTAATTTCCCAATGATGCATTAATGTATGAATGCCTTGATGTAAGGAAAGGCCATGTCTCTGTTTTGAGTTTAGAATTTTATGTGAATATCAAAATCGTTTGCTTACATCTGCAGAGTTTGTGCTTCTTTTCTGTAAAAGACAGAGAGACAAAGATGTATAGTTTCTTTTCAAAACCCAAATAATTTGAGTTTTATACCAGGGTGATATGAACATTAAACAGCATAGTGCTTTATACTTTTGTTAGTAAGTATTTTAAGCTCAGTACCTTTATTGACCTGGGGCCCATAGCTGGTTGGATCTCCTGGAACAACACACAGTATGAGTGCATGGTTGTTGAGAAAGGAGTATCAGGATTTGAGAAAGATATGCACAAATGAATGACCACTTGCCATCACTAAAGCAATACTTCACCCACATAATGACCATTTGCATATCAATTAGTCATCCATTGTTACCTTGAATTTGTGAAGAAAACTTTTTCTTGCACACCTTCACGTTGAACGGAGAATCCAAAAAAAGGCAAACATTCCTCATGAACTGAAGTAAAGGTGGACTGCATTAAACAACAGCAAAACTTTATCAAAACATCCATTATTCATCCAGTCGTATGCTCATTACTTACCAAACACGTACTTTTGCTCAAACATTAACGGCTCAGTGTGTAGGATTTAGGGGCATCTAGTGGCAGAAATAGTATATTATATTCATAACTATGTTTTCATTAGTTTATAATCACCTGAAAATAGCATTGATTGTGTTTTCGATACCTTAGAATGAGCTGTTTATATCTACATACAGAGAGGGTCCTCTTTCATGGAGCCCTCCATATTGTTCTACAGTAGCCCAGACAGACAAATCAAGCACTGGCTCTAGATAGGGCTATTTGTGTGTGTTTTTTGTCAGCCACTGCAGTTCCACTACATGCTTGGCACACAAGAGAAGTTTCAGTCCTGCAACCTTACGGCTAGACAGTGTTTGGCTTGTTACTCTGAAAAGGTGAAAGATTACTCATTACTCTTTTCAAAACTAATAATATTACTTGGCTCATTACTCCCGGCTAACAGTAATTTGTCACAATACTCATTAGGTACACCCTTTAAAATTGGTAATCGCGTATCTCCCCAAAATTCAGATGTGTGCCTCAAGGTGAATGTCAGGGTAACAGCCGGTAAGTGTAGCTAGGGCTAGATAGCTGCTTTTTTACCCGGGGGGGTTTTCTGTTACCTGTGAGCAGTATTTTCCCAGGACTGATGGAGCATCATTTCATCCACCACATATCCAGCCACAAGCTTCATCACTGCTTTGTAGCCTAGATTAAAGTCCAGTTTTGGCTGTTTAGCCAGTGTAAGGCTGGACCCAACCTCTGCAGCTGCGGATGGCTCACCTTTGGTAGGGTGTATTTCCTGGAGGTTCACGTTGTTGTGTTACCGGTCAAAGTAGCTGAGGTGTTTCAGACCGGAGGTTTGAGGACTTTTAGTTCAACTACCTGCAGCAACAGTGTTCTTTTTATCTTTCCTCCTGACAAAACCAAAGTAATGGGAATATTTTCAGCTGCTACGGTGTTTCCAACTAGATTGCTGCCTGTGCAGCACGACGATTACTAAAATGATTCCGCTGATGTGATGTATGTCAAGTCAGTAGTGATGTGATAACAAAAGGAACATTGTAACAAGTTGATTGGTTTTGGAGTAACACGTTCCAAGTAACACCTTACTGCCCAACACTCCCCCTATATGACTCTAAATCCTGCACACTGGACCTTTAAGATTTAAAACAGGTCAGTACAAACAGTCTCATGCACAGCTGAGTCACGTACCTGGGCGTGCCTGCCTGCGTTGAAACTGTGTTCACGTGTCGCTTATCGGCACAAGCTCAGGCACGCTCAGGGCGCACTACTAGAAGCTGGAAGTGTTTTATATTGTCACATTTTAGCAAAAATGCATGTGTTTGGAAAGAAATGAATATATGACTGGCTAAATGAGACTTTGATTATACTGCACGCGCTGTGTGAGAGTTCGTAAGAGTTTGGATGTTTTGATGTAGTTTTGGTCAAATGCGGTCCCCAATGACTTCAGTTCACCCAGAATGTTCGCCTTTTTGGGACTCTTTGTTCAACACAGTTTTCCTCATGAATTCAACATAACATGGAGGGAGTAACTGATATAAAAATAGTCTTTTTTTGGGCGAAGTATTCTTTAAACTTTACATTTCCTGAATGGACTGGTGCAGTGCCTGCATCACTGCAGAAGACACACCAGACTGGTTTGATGTGGCTTATTGTGTTATTGTTGGACTTACATGCAAAATGGTGAATCCATTACAATGTTCTGATTTACAATTGTCTGATTCTCAGACAAACAGCTTGAGACTTTTAGATTTGAGTCAGGCCTTTTAGTCCCATACACTGTGTCATTTTGTCCTGTGCTTGACAAAATTTCAAATTTGTAGAAATCTTTAGTTGTTGACCCAAAACGGTGGTGCCAGATCACATTGTGAGACCAGGCCCCAGGAAAGCCACTCAGCCTTGCAGCAAATTTTTCCCAGTGGACTCTTGCAGTATTGCAACGAAAAAATCCCCTTTGATCCAAAAAACATTTCCCCCATAGGCCACCACTGTAAAAGAGACATTGATGAAACAGTTGACAGGACACCTTCAACCGCAAACAAGGTCAATTATGAATCGTTCTGTTCTTAATTTTTGATCCATGGAGGTTTCATATTTGTAAAAATTTCCTCAAGCCAAGTAAAACAATGTAAAAGTCTGTGACTCCATCACAATGTAAAGTCTATGAGCTGAGTGGAAACTCGTGGGCGGGGAAAGTGAAAGTAGAAATCTTTCTTGTTGTCGGCATCAGGCGAGCAACTCCACTGGAATGAATAGGCGCCGTCTTGAGGTCCAGTATCTAGTTATTATCAAAATCTATGTGTGAGACATGTCACCAATAGCCAGCATCAGAATTTAGGACCAAACTCTCACAATGAGCGTCCCTGGCCATTGTCACTGTGTGTCCCACTCTGATGGCCCTCATCAACGCTAGTCAGCTTTTTTCCCGCTGATTCAACAAGTTGAATCGGCATCTGCAACTGTGGAGTCTGTCAGTGAGTGAAATCACTCTGATTGGCAGTTTAGCTCAGCACATGAGAAGCGAAATGGAAGTGAGGAAAGTAAACAGTTCTTTCAACACTGGATTGTGTTGTTAATGTGCTAACTGGCTAATTCGCATCAAGACGGTACTCCGGTTTCCCTTTCCGAATACAGACAACCGCCTCCCACTGTTGTCGAGAGTTATTTCTTCTGACACAAGTGCAGAAAGTACATGCTGGTTGGCCGTGCAATTTGTTTATGTGCAACTTTTTTGTCTGAGACATGGCAACGTCAGGCGACACAGCAGGGGGCTGTTGTCACGTCTAGTTCACTGAAATTGGTTGATGTTATTTCGTAACTGTTAATAGGTTAGATAAAACAATTTGTACTAGGGCAAGTAAAAAACAAAAACGTTGAACCCTGATGTAAAAATGGCTCAAATGGATGATGAGAGTTGATGAGGTTTCATAATTTCTTGCATATTTTTGTGCTACACCCAGGAATTCATTGCACATTAGAAATTCTTAAAAACTGATAAAGTCTGGCACAGATTACAACCAAGATTTTTAGCCCATGCAATGAACCCGCAAGATCACTGTCAATGTACAGTGCACAGGGGCCTTTAGTGACAAGAAATAGGTCTTAAGACTTGACTTGAAAGGACCCTGCTTTGAAAGGACAACATTCAAATATCATTTAAATGTTCAGCATTCTGAGATCTGAAAGACTCGAATCTTGACTTGCAATTTGCTGATGGTGCTATCGCATTAAAGGTTTCTTTTCAACAGTTATTACCAAGGAAAAGTAGCATCACATCCCCAAATATTGGATTAGAAATGCAAAACATATTGCGATATGACTGTTTTTTTCAACAGTTGTGAAGGAGATTCATTTCAGCTGTCAGCTGGCTTTGGTGTTTCCAGAAATGACTGAATCTGCTGCTTTGGCATGTGTTTATTAGATTTTCTGTGAAGCTGTTTTATTTTTTTTTTGCACAGTCTTGGTAATTATGCCCTCTAAACAGATATTCTTTTCTTCTTTTTACCAGGAAATCACTTTTGCTGCTGCCAGACATGCAACACACACCACTTCCTGCGTGCCTGGGGATTTTGCATGGGATAGATCAACTCTTACAGGCTTCTATAAACAGTGTATGGGCAGGTTAAAAATTAAGTGCAAGCTAACCATAGAAAATAACAGAGCAGACATTTGTTTACATGCAAATGTTGCACATGGAGCTTATTTGAAATACCTGTGCCGGAGCATCTCTGCGAGAAACGACCAGAGCTTCCCGGGCCTGAGCTGGAAGCCAGATGCAGACACAAATCCACAACAGCAGGACTCTCCACACTGCAGGCATGGCTGGGAAGTCAAAGAGCCTCTGTCCCGGTATGGCTCAAAACAAATGTGAGGGGAATTTGAGGCATGTGGGGATCTAGTCTTCCCAAGAGTTTTACTCCACCCACACTCTGTGCTGCAGGAGGAGGGACCCTCTGCCTCTGCCACTAAGTTTGCGTGAGTCAGTGTGCGTTGTTTCCTGTAAATACATCGGCATGTGTGGGAAGATTTCATCAACTTAGAATTACGCTCTTCCTGTCAAGACTTGTTTATCCACAGGTTGATATTGGGTGAACCTCTGTGTGTATGCGTGTGTACGTGCGTGTGTGTGTGTGTTTACCATGTGGGCTTACTGCACGCTTTAAGCTCACCTAAATTATGCTGAGATGTGAATGAGGTTGATTATACCATCACAAAGTGTAAACCAACAGCTAAGCCTTACATGAATTACTTTTAATTGCCGATGTCTCGTGCAGTCAAACAACAATTTCAGTTGTTTGGGTACACAGAGGATTTTTCCTGTTTGACCATGAAGAAATGTTTCACCAATTTGTCACCACTAAGGTAAAATTTATTTGGTATCATGTGTGTGTGAGTCCTACATCAGACCTCACATGAAGTGTAACAGAGCTTTTCATCAGCGTTGTACTGCTTGGAGACAGTCTGGATCCTGTTCTACATCCTGTCAGCTCCTGACATATCAGCAAACATTTAACAAGGCAACAGATAGCATCTTCTCGTAAATATATCATTATGAAAATATTGTGGGTTGCACAGGGCAGCAGCCACAGTAAAATCAGACTATCAGCGTTTACGTAGGTTACTTAGTGGCTTTGCAATAAGCTTCTGCCACCGGTGCCTAAATTTTGTGGAAATCTGCTTTACGGCAGGAAACAAGTCACGAGCACAATGGCAGACGGACAAAGTTTGGAGACAAGTGAAAAACAGCCTAGCAAAAGAAAACGAGCTCCTCTGTCTGAGGAGGCAAAGAAGAGCAAAAAGGAGAGTGATAAAAGAAGAGGAAAAACAAGAGTAAACCTCAGTCAGGCGTTCAAGAGATGGAGGGAACTCTGTGACCAAAGAGGCTTCAAAACCCATGTCCAGCTAGCTTTCTTTCTAATGGATCAGTAAGTAACACGGCTAAATGTTAGCTAGCCGAGAGAGGACTGTACTGTACTGGCTGCTAGTTCATTCCTAGCTGGTCAGCATCGCAAATCGCCACAACCAGGGACCGGGTAGCGAGTGTTGGTCGGCTGACATCCTCGTTGCATTGTAACATTCCTCGTCTACGGCAGCCCTCGGAGAGTGATACCCCCCTCCCTTCCTTCTGTTCTCTTCTCATGGAGGCAGCTATCGACGGACATCGCCCAGCTAAGTTACGCCCAGCTAAGTGAACACTGAACTTTGTTTCCCATTCAATTTGAGCTCCAACTGGCCACATCGTTTCCATACGGTACCGTTTATTCTAGAATCGGGACTGTTTACATGTGCATATTGGTATAATTCCACTGTGTCTACTGTTGTTTGTACTGATACTGGACATATTGGTATAATTTACTGTGAGTTGTTTGTACTGGTACTGTGCATTCTGGTATACTTATTTGCGTTACTATTTGTTTTTTTTCTTCAGATAAATCTGATAATTGTTGCTCGGTCTCTTTACTCATTTATTTAGTATAGTGTCCACACCTTCTCATTCTACATATACATAGAGGTATACTGGTGGCTTTACAGCCTACATTTCTTTTGTCTCTGATCCCCACGGTCAATTTGGTCGTTGCGACAGTGCGACGCAACACCACTGACGTTAGGTGGCGCTGAGCAACCTAGAAGATAACATCGCCCTGGTTCCTTTGACAAAAAGCCAATGGGATTTTTCCATTTTTGGATTATTGCAGAAAATAAGATCAGTGGCAAACAAAAGTTTACGATATTTACACGTTTTGTTCAGCAAGATAATCTTCACAAATGAACACCACTTTTTTGAAACATTAATGCAGTTACGTTCAATGATGTTCTGTAGTCTTATTTAGCTTCAGAAGCTTCAGAATTCAGGAATGGGGTATTTCCTGGTGTTTTTTTATGCAGTAAAACAAAGTCTCTCAAGCTTGTCTTAACCACAAACCTAATGAAAGGCATCTAACCAAAAACCCATTCAAAAAACCCATTGACTTAGAGACGAGGGTTTTAGAACTCATCCCTGCAGCACTACACTAGGCACTGTCAAAAGTGTTTTCAGAAAAAGGAGGAATAACCAAACTAAACAGCATTATCTGTTGTAAATGAAACACTAAAATAAAGCTATTAAATCCAGCTTGAGTCCATCTTTATCAACTTTGTCCCATTTATTTCAATACAAGTGGCAGCTGAGGCTGTCTCTCAGAACCCCTCAGTATTTTGTGTTCATTTTACTTTCAATTCTTATAATTCCAGCAATTACACTGATAGAAACTGTGACATTGTCCATGCACTGCTGTGAATGAAGCCTGTTGGGCCTTGTGTACAAGATGTTAAAGCATTCATTCATGGTGTAAGTGACACTGATGTGTAACCTGTTTTTAAACTGTTTTAAAAAGGCCTGACACAATGTAGTCTGCAGCCTCTCCATCGATGAGGCCGGTTCCATTACTGTGAATAAACCAGCAGGGAACATTTTCTCCGTTCTTCACATCCCTCCTGAAGTCTCTCTGCCAGCCTCTGTGGACCGAGACAGACATGGTCATGTAGGCAGTTTATTCAGTGGACACACACTGCATGCATCAAACTCTTCCACACTTATCTGAGGCCTGCAGTTTACCTGGTCACATTGAGCTCCTGTCCTTTCACATACATGGTGGCATCTGGTTTCTCTGGGACTTCACCTGGACGCAGGTCTGACACCTCATATTCAATCCCATGGTAGAACTGACCTGGAGGACGAACCACCATTGAAAGTTAATATCATTGTAAAATAAAATCATTCTGGCCCTGTATCTCTCCACCAGTGTGGACTGCTAATTAAGATAAATTGAGCTTTATTTTATCTAATTAAGTTTATGAATTGATGCAGAAAATTGCTGAAAATATGGTTTTGGTTAAATAACAATAGTAAACCACATTTTACTGCAAAACATCACAAATAACATTAAAAAACATTTAAAACAATCATTAAATCTGACAAATCCCAACAGGAAATTTGTCCTGGAGGACAAACAAAGTTTCACTGATCTTATTTTATGTAATTTTATGATTTTATGAAATTCCAGCCTGGCTGGCACTGCAATATGCAGCTTTTAAATTTGCATCATTATTATATGCCAAGTGTACTTTTTATGTACTATAGAGTGTTTTAGGTACTCCTATTAGCAAGCCCACAGACAAAGCAGCAAATATTCTGGCACCTTATCTGTGGGTTGAGTGATTGTGGGAGAGGTGAAATCCATATCACTTGTTCCGACCAAACCATGCAGTCTATTCTCTGAAATGTGTGTGATGTCGTACCTAGCAGGCCGTGAACAGAAGGGGACAGGAGGTGGCTGTCCAGGGTGTAGAAACCCAAGTAGTCCCGATGGTACGGG